CAGAATTACAACTGCTCTTCAGATGGCAGAGATCAGTTCCCCTGGAGAAAACAGTGGACTCTGTGTTATTATACCCTACTGAGGTTGACACAGCAAATTGACACTGACTGCCCAAGGCCAGGGCACCTGCCCAATGCCTCTTTCTAGAGCTCATTGTATTTATTTCCGCAATGGGCCTTATTCCTAGTCTGTAAGCATTTATAAAGACATACATTGGGATGTAAGCAGGGTTTGGACTGCAGGCATTCTGTGGTTTCCTGGCAAATACTCAGTTTTCACATCTTAAATATCTTAAATTGTGTTCTAGTTACTCACCTAGAACACTTGTCTGACAAGCAACTCAAGATTATTTAATACAGATAAATTAGTAATACCAATTATTTAAAATACCCCTTTGGATTATCAAAAAATAACCGGCCTCCTTTCAATGCATGTGGAAGAAGTGGAACTTCTAGCCTGCATTAGTAATTCCAGAACTGGGGACCAATTAAGATAGAATGAAAAGGTGTGTCCCTGCCTATTTAACAGGGATGGTCCCTGTAATGATTTCATGTTTAACTGTGTGTGTGTGGCTTTAAAAGTTTGGTTTGCATGGCTGTGATGATAATCTAGAGTGCTGGAATCAGGCAAGTGATATGATTGGTGAGTGACAGAGAGGGGGAGGGGTTTTGGAATGGATGCTGTGTGGAGGATTTGAATGTCTATCAAGAGGGTCAGTTAGAGATGACAGTTGATGAAGTCAGTGGAAGGGGAGTTAAGCTATGTATGAGAGAGAAGGAGAAGCTTCCCTGTGTGGGTTGTTAAGTTCTATGTCTTAGAGTTGAATAAGACAGTTGATAAGGAGTTGATTCTGAGGTCTGAAGGAGAGAAACAGTGAACTTACATGACCTTGAGTTTATGTTACAAAGTTACTTGAAACCTCCCTGTCAGTAAAGGAGAAGCTTGTGAGAGACACCAAGCAATTGTTCAAATCATTCCCAGTACTGTTTACATTGTTCTACCCTCGTATTTATGCTTTATTTAAATAAATTTTATTTCATTCAAGTATACCAGCTCTGGAAAGAATATTCCTCAGACCACATAGACCTTCATGAAAGCCTAGACCCTTGGTATACCTACCCAGTGATTAAATATTATATTATAAAGGTTTGGAAAGTCTTATAAATTTCCTGGTGGCAGCCGGATACACATAATAAAATAAAACCTAAAGAACACTTTAAAGGGAAACCAGACCTCCCCAGTTAAGGGGTTGTCACAGTCCCATTTAAAGGTACATGTGAGTCTCTCTGTGTGTTTAGTGCTGTCAATTCAGACTTATGGAGATCTTATGAATTAAAATGGCCTTGACCTGGACAGCCAAGCTAGCCCAGTCTCATCAGACCTTGGGCTCTAAGCAAGGCGGGCCCTGGTCATTATTTGGATGAGAAACCAAGGAATACCAGGGTCACTATGTAGAAGCAGGCAACAGCAAACCACCTCTGAAATTTCTTTCCTTGAAAACCCTGAAGAGTTGCCGTAAGTCAGCTGTTACTTGACAGCAAAATAATAACCACCAAAACATCATATTGTTAACCGCCTTGCTCAGGTCTTGCAAACTGAGGGTCATGGCTTCTCTGATTGAGTCAGTCCATCTCATGTTGGGTCTTCCTCTTTTCCTGCTCCCTTCAACTTTTCCTAGCATTATTGTCTTTTCTAGGGACTCTTCTTTTCTCCTAATGCTCCTACCGTTTTCTCCAGAGGAACTATCTCTGCCATTAGGAGCTATTAAGAGCCTCTGATCCCAGCCTCAGTTTAGTTATTTTAATTTCTAGGGAGAGTTCAGGTTGGATTTGATCAGGAACCCACTTATTTGTCTTTTTGGCAATCCATGGTATCTGTAAAACTCTTCTCCAACAACAGATTCCAAATGAATTAACTTTCTTCCTGTCAACTTTCTTCATTGTCCAATTTTTACAGCCATACATAGTAATGGGGAATACTATAGCATGAATTAACTTGTTTTTGTCTGCCAGTGACACATCCTTCACAGCTGTCCTTTCCAGTCTCAATCTCCTTCTAATTCCTTGGTTGCAGTTTCCCTTTTGGTTGATGATGGAGTGAAGGAATAGAAAATCTTTAACAATTTTGACTTCATCTTCAACCTTAAAGTTGTGTAATTCCCTAGTAGTCAGTGTTCCCTCTAAGTTAGTGTGAGCTAGTACACAGTTTTTTAGTCCCTGGGTCACCCGTTTTTGTCTTAGTTCAGGAAGGGATGGCTCCAGAGCAAACTGATTTATGCAGCAGCCAAATCACTCGCTCACGACTTTAATGCCAGTAGCTCACAAAGTAGAATTTTTGCTCACAGGACTCTACAGCTTAGAGGGAGCATTGCCAGTAGTAATTACTTTTGTCTTCTTGATGTTCAGCTGCCATCCTGCTTTAGTACTTTCTGCTTTAACCTTCATCAGGAGTCATTTTATGTTCTCACTATTTTCTGCCAGTAATGTGATGTCATCTGCATATCTCAGACTGTTAATGTACCTTCCAACATTTTTCACTCCACCTTTATCTAAGTTGAATCCAGCTTTCCTTATGATAGGCCCTGCATATTGATAAAACAGATTGGGAGATAAAATAGATCTTTGCATGACACCACTGCCAACTGGAAACTATTTTGTTTCTCCATTTTCTGTCCTAACAGCAGCCTCTTGTCCGGTGTACAGGTTTCATATCAAAACAATCAGATGTTGTGACATACCCATTTCTTTAAAAACCAAACTGTGGCCCCGGTCATAAGGGCTGGATATCGCCGGGGGGGGGGGGGGGCTAATTGCCCCGGCGGAGTTTGATCCGCGATTACACGATCAGACGTACCGGCGGCACACCAAGGGTCCTTCCCTTGGCACCGGCAGGTAAATGAGGGACCGGAGGGGAATGCCGCGCGCCAGCGTGATCACACCACGGGAGTCTGGAGGCAGCCCGTGGCAAATGTTTACTAGTACCTTGGAGGTACTACTTTTTTTAACACGCATCTTCAGCAGTAAGCCACGGGTGCGCTCCACTTCCCAGATGTTGGGGTGTGATCGTGCCCAGATAATCCGCCCACCATCCGTGCCTCTCCCGCGGCAACTTTGCCATGTGACTGGGGCAATAGTTTTTTTATGATCTACACTGTCAAAAGCGTTGCTGTAATCTATGAAACACAAGATGATTTTCTTCTGAACCATGTTTTTGCCGCATGGTGTTGCCACGAAGCCATAGATCCATGAATTCTGTGGTGCAAGCTTTGGCCATGGACATGATATGGGATTTAATGGTAAGGTTGGGGTGTTCCAACACAAACACCCCAAGTATCAATGAGGATCCATGCTTCAGAACCACATTTTTGTAGAATGGTATCACCACAAAGCTGTGGATCTGTGATTTTTGTGGTGCAAGCTGTGGCCATGGACACGTTGTGTGATCTCATGGTGCACTTGGGGTGACCCAATTCAAAAAAACCAAGCATCCATGAGGATCTGTGCTTCAGAACCATGTTTTTGCTGCATGGTGTTGCCACGAAGCTGTGGATTCATGATTTCTGTGGTTCAAGCTGTGCCCATGAATATGATATGTGATTTGATGGTGATGTTGGGGTGATCCAACGCAAAATCCCTGAGGATACTTGGTGATCCATAGTTCAGAACCATGTTTTTGCATCATGGTGTCACTACCAAGGCACGGCCATGTGATTTCAGTGGTGCATGCTGTGGCCATGGACAAGATATGTGATTTGATGGCAATATTGGGGTGACCCAATGCAGAAATCATAAGGATCCTTGAGGATCCGTGCTTCAGAATCATGTTTTTGCAGCATGGTGTTGCCATGAAGCCGTGGATCTCTGATTGTTGTGGTGGTTACTGTGACCATGGACATATGTGATTCAGTGGTGAGTCTGGGGTGACCCAACACAAAATCCCTGAGGATCCATAAATTTCCACGGTTCAGAACGCTGTTCGTGCAGCATGGAATTGCCACCAAGCAATGATATGTGATTTGATGGGGTGGTGAAAAACCCTGAGGATCTGTGCTTTGGAACCATGTTTTTGCACTTTTGTGGTGCCACAAATTCATGGAGGCATGATTTTTGTAGTGCTGCCTATAATCTAAGCCATGGTCTACAGTATGATGCTGGTTTTATTTCATTTCATCATACGAATTCATGACGATCCATCCTTTGGAATTATGTTTTTGTGCTGTTGTGGTGTCACAATTCTGTGGATGCGTGATTTTTCTGGTGTTCCCTATAGTCTGACACATTGTCTACAGTATGATGGTGTTTTTATTTTGTTTCAATATAAAAATCATATGAATTCATGGGGATCCATGTAGATCCAACTTTTACTTTCCCCCCTAAAGTTAGCTACTAAAATGTTAATAGCAAAACGCTGGAAACATGCTGAAAATCTAAACATTAAAAATTGGATTAAAGCATGGCAATTTGCTAGAGTAGTAAGGTTTAGCAAGGTGGTTTGTCTGACAGATAGTTAGTAACCTAAATTCACACTTTTGTCAGTCTGGAAACCCTAACCCTTTCTTAGGGTTACACTTTGTTTTGAATGGATTATATGCCTTGTTCTGTAATTTTTTTAGGGTTAGGGTTTTGTAAGTTTATAAAACTGTAAGGAAGCCTGGGGAAGCAACTGTACATTTTTACTTGTTCTCTTGGTAGGGTTTGTCCAGGAGCAGTACAAAAAAATCATGTAGTAACCTGCCTGGTTTAGAAACAAACGTTATTAAAGCCGAGGGAATACAACGCACACGCAAGCCTTCCAGTTCTCTATTGTTGTACGATTTTTATTTTTGGATTTTGCCTCATAATCCAGGTATTGTCAAACGCTGATTCCAGCAACAGTGTTACAGTAACATGCTCTTTCCCCCAAACCTTCTTCCTGTCCAGAATTTCGCGCCCTCTCCAAGCACCGCCTCAGTCCTACAGCGACCTCACGCACGGTTGACGTTATAAGCTCCACCTCTTACTCTGGGGAGGGGTTGGATTGAACTATTTTCGCCCTCTTTCGTACGCTGTCCGCCCCCTTCGTGTTCCAGCGACTGTGTTGTCCCCCCCCACCCTCTTTGCCGAGTGGGGTGCTGCAGCTCAGTGCACATCGCGGCGGCGCTTTGAAGTGATGTAGCGCGTGCGGCTTGATGTCAGCGCGAGGCCTCAGCTTGCTCCGCCCGGGTACAGTGACTTCTCTTAGCTTGCAGTAGGGAAGAAAGGCGGGAGGAAGGGCCGTACGCGCGCGCGAGAGAGAGAAACTGAGCAACTGCCGTGTTCGCTGCTGACAGTTGAGCATTTGAGTGTTTGTGTGTGTGCACGCGCGCGCGCTCTCCTGCTCTGACACCGCAGCCGCACTTGTCAACGCCTTTGCTTGTCGGGAGCCTCCCCCTCAAAAGATTCTGTGTGCCTGTTGATGATGGCTGCTTAGTGGGCCCTGCAGGCCCACACCCAGTACCGTTGCTTTCTGGCCAGGAGGGGGGTCACTTGCCCTCCCAAGTGTGCGAATAACGGGATTATTCAGCCTACTCCAAGGAACAGAGCAGCCCAGAACCGTTTGACTGCCCCTCTTCTCCGGCCGGAAAGCTGCCGATCTGACCCCGCCCCCCCGTAAAAGTCTCGTGGTCCTTGATAAAGCATACCATTAAAGGCGAGGTTCTCTTCTCCCCCCCCCCCCCCCCCTCCCACCAATCTTCAAAAATAAACGCATTTTAGTCTTCCCATACTTCAAGGAGCTCAGGATTCTGTCCATGGTTTTATTTATTCCTTAAAAACTTTTATTAGCTTTCTTTCTATCGTGTGGCACTCAAGATACAAATAAAACCCGTTGTAAAACAAATAAGACAATAGCTTAAAATCTCAATTATGACTGCCAATAAATAAAACTAAATTAGTCAAATACCATCCTAAATACAACTGGCTCTCTCTTCCTCCCATTTTCTCACAACAGCCTTGTGAGGTAGTTTAGGCTGAGTGATTGCCCCAGAGTTGCACAGTCACATTTACGGCTGACTGGGGATTTGAACTTAAGCCTCCCCAGTACTAGTCTAACACTGGCCACTACACACTACCTCTCTAATTATTATTCTGCTATCCAGCCAAAAATTGGCTTCCAGAGTACCTCTCAGTAATCAAAAGGCTATATAGATGACAATTAAAATTCCATTAACATTGCCCCTAGGTTAGGGATTCCCTGCTTGCAGCCCCTGCTCTCCCTCTGTTAAAAATCAGGAGGGACTCTCAGCTGAGTTGCAGGTGTTACATTATGCCTTTGTGTGAACATTATTTGTTGTCAGATATTGAAAAGTCTGATTATTGATGTGCTTTTAAGTAATGATTACAGTTTTTTGATAGGCTGTGCTTTCTGGTATTGGGGAAATTTGTAAATCCCATCTGGTTATGCCTTCTCCTTGCTAATGGTTAACTACTGTAGTATATTAAACTCTTCCATCCTACTCCAATTCTACAAAGATGGGAATTAACATGTCTTCTTCCACTCTTCACTTCGGTATTCTGGATTATTTTATCTAATTAGCTACCATTTGTGATAGTTTACAATCCCTGACACAAGTAAATTCTCCTAATGTAAATTAGACTCTCTTATCATATATGTATAACAATAATATTGTGTAATAAAATTCTATCGGCTTGGAATAATAAATTGTGATTTCATTAGTTTGGGATAATTGACACAGTCCTTTTTCTGGTTACTCACAATCACTGATGCCATTAGGTTTGGAAATACATTTTAAAAAGCCAATCTTTTATTATTATTCAACCACTCTGATTTTGAGAACAGAATGGTTATTTAAACATATGATTAATAATTTCAATTGGATAATTAAATCTAAAGTTGTCATTTTTATATACCCTAAGGAATGGCCTATTAAAATGCATAGGAGCTGTCATTAAAAGAACAGATCAGGTAGGAACTCTATTTGCATTAAGTGATCTTGAGTGTGCATTAGTGAGACAACATGAGGCTCTCAAGTTCCCTTACTCTAACTGACCTTAGTACAGTTCCCAAATAATATTACTTACCAGACTCCTAACACTTTCTAAGGGACCAGTGCTTATTTAACATTTTATTTACCCTGAATTTTGTCAAGCAGAACAAATCTGCTATGTCACATTGCTTTGGTGAATATTGAACCTTATCTGTATTCTTTTGCAGAAGGCTAGTCTGATTCCTATTCCCTCCGTAGGGAAGTACTTTATCCTGGGTTTTCACTGGGGGTTTATTCTTTGTCCTAAAAAGTGCTCTGCGATTTGGGGAGATTTAATGATCATTGCAGTTTTTTAGGACATCGAGCTTTGGGTCAGTCCTTAATTTTTGTGGTGGTGGCCATGCTGCTTGTTGCTGGTTGGTTTAATTTTGTGTTGTTAATTTTTTTAATTTTTAGTTTAAATATTGTTTATTGTTTTAAATAATTAATCTAAGTTGCCTTGACTGCTTTTAAGTAGAAGGGTGGGGTATAAATATTTTTTAAAAGTAAATAAGGTGGAAGAACAGAAAACAGATGGTAGCATCTTTTATGCAAACTGTTTAGCAATTTAAAACTATTTTATAAAGAGAGTTGTTGTTGCATGCAGCACTTGCTTTTCTCACTGGACATAAAGTTGACAGTAATTTTTTCAACACTTGTTTTAAATGACCTTATGGTTAGATTTTAATAAAGCTAAATTTGGATCTTCATAATTTTAATATTATATTTATATTCTTTATTGAGATTTCAGTTTTTGCACATCCTTCCAATAATATACAGGGTTTTTAAAAAATTAAAATGAAGAGGTGAGTGAATTTGTGTGAAAGAGAGGTAAATCTACTATTAAATAGACTTTTGGGGAAGCTGTAGTTATGCAAACCCTCCCATGTGATGGGGTAATAAGTTCAGATTGAATGCAAGGAATGAGAGCATGCCCATGGAAGGAAGTGAAGAGGACAATGATATTAAAGCAGTCAGAGAAAGATAATTTCAACAGTTACTTTGTACGGCAATAGATAAGAAAGAGATTATTAAAGTCTGGAGGTTGCATGAGTGAGATGGTAGTGCATGTGTGAGGAACAATTGTGCAGAGATGGAAGACAAAAATGTATTTTGGGTTGTTGTAATAGAAGAACTGAGAGGATATTAAAGTAAAGGTAAAGGTTCCCTTGCTCGAAAGCCAGTCGAATCCGACTCTAGGGTTGCGGTGCTCATCTCTGTTTCAAAGCCGAAGAGCCAGCGAGCCAGCGCTGTCCGAAGACATTTCCGTGGTCATGTGGCTGGCATAGCTAAACACCAAGGCGCACGGAACGCTGTTACCTTCCCACTGAAGTGGTACCTATTTATCTGCTTGCAATTTCTTGCTTTCGAACTGCTAGGTTGGCAGGAGCTGGAACTAGAGACGGGAGCTCACTCCGTCATGCGGCACACTCGGGTCTCGAACTGCTGTACTACCAACCTTCCACAGCCTGCAGTTCAGTGTCTTAACCCCTTGAGCCACCACAGCTCCTTTGTGACTGGCTAAAATAGTGTGAATTTAGTATAGTTTAGTTTAGACAGGAAGTAATTAGAGGAAACAATTTATTTTTACAAATTTGTCAACCAATTCATTTTTCCTGTTTATTTAGACAGAAACATAGTTGACCAAGTTCTTCTAAATCAGTCTATCAAAGAAGGACCAGCTTTCCCTCCAAAAAACACAATGTACATTTTAGCAGTAAATAGATTCATTACTAATTCTAAATTTGGAGAAGCAGATTATGACAACAATAAACATCTGATTATTCACTGATTCCTTTGAGCTTGGATTTTCGTTAAGATTTAGCAGTACTTTCCAATGAGCAGGGTTTTGTGAAATCTTCTTGGTCTGTGGGACGAATAAGACATTTGAATGATTGTGCTTTAGCTTGCTTTTGGACTGAAGTACTAGTTCTCTACTTGTAAAGACAATCCCCACAGAAAAATAGTATTTTAAAGATATGTAGCACAAATCTGTACCCCTTGTGCTCCCGGGGTCGAATATGGAACACACATTCGGAGTCCAGTGAATTAGATGATTAGCTGTTTATTGCAAGAAACAGAAAATACAGGGCTGGATACCTTAGCACCCAGCAATGCCAAGCTGTATTCTGCAATAGCCAGGAAGGGCAGAAGGCCTTGTACCCCAAATGACATCACTATAGTTTATTCATTGAGAAATCCCTAATTGGTACCAGACAGGTAACATCATTAAAGCATCATTTGACTTAACACGTCTCTATTGGCAAGCTCCTATCTGGATCCGAATTACAAGCCTTCATGTTTTCTTATCTGGTCACGGAAGACTTTTGGGAACACTGAGGTCTTCTTTTGGCATCATTCCTGGCTTATTTGCTTCAGCCTGGAGCTAGGGAGTTTTCTGATAAGGCACATGAAACTTAGCTCTGGGCAGACTCAGTGGGGCCAGATGCTCTTACAAAAGGAGATATTGTTTTGGAAAGACTTTGAGCCCTTTTGTCGCATAACTCCCACTGCTTGGTGTCCTTGCAACCACCAGATACACATTCCATTCTATTGCATTTGCAGAGGCCTCTAATAATACTTTTGCTTAATAGAACGTCTTATACAGGAAAATACAATTATAAAATATATGTGTTTTACTATAGCTTTCTTCCATCTGGGCTGAATACCAAAATCTGAATATACTATGATTAAACTCTTACGAAGGCACAGTGACAGCTGTCAATATATATGTCAAAGAAAATATCAAAAAAATCACATTCAGAAATCACATCCACTAGGTCCCTTGTCCTACATATATTATCAATTTATCTAATTTTCAGCACGGCCCTTTCTGTGAATATTTAAATTTGGACATTGGGGCCATGAAGAGACACATATTTATACAAATCTGAGGAAAAACCCCAGGTTTGCAGAAAATCTGAAATCTAAAAATAATAAAAAATTGGGTGGTTAAAATGCTCTAAGAAGCAGTGCCTGTACTTTTTAAAAATGAATGCCCTTTGCAGTGGGCATTGTGGAGGTTGCTAAGCAACCACAGTAATATTGCCAGCTTTTAAGCCTTGGTTTCTATTAGTAAAAGGCAGGGGGCAGGGCCCTTTCCAAGCCTGTTTTGGCCATTGAGGGAGGACTCATTGGGGCCAGGCATGGCAGCAAAAACTGGCACACGCTGCCGCTCATTACTGTTTAACTACTGTA